GGAAACTCAAAGTCTTCAAACCCCGGGGGCTGGTCAACATACACTTCCTCTTGAATAAAACCATTGAGGAAGGCACTCTTAACATCCATTTGATAAAGTTTAAAATCCATAGACGAAGCAAAAGCAAGAAGTAAACGAATAGCTTCTAAACGTGCTACAGGTGCATAAGTTTCTTCGAAATCAATGCCTTCTTCTTGATTGTAGCCTTTAGCTACGAGCCTAGCTTTGTTTCTAGTGATTATTCCATTTTCATCAAGTTTGTTACGGAACACCCATTTCGTACCAATAACCGTACGATCATCGGGTCTTGGCACCAATTCCCAAACGTCATTCCGTTTGAATTGGTTTAGCTCCTCTTGCATAGCCAATGTCCAATGTTCATCGTTTATTGCTTCGGAAGTGGTTGTAGGTTCAATTTGAGAAACAAAAGCCATGTGTCCTACGGTGTCCCTAAGTGAGTTACGAGTACTTACCCCACGGTTGATGCTACCGATTACCTGGTCAAGCGGATGGTTCTTGTTTGTTCTCCATGCTATGGGAAGCTCGGTTGCTTCTTCTTCGTGTTCCTCTTGTTCTTCTTCTTTCTCCTGATTTTCTTCTTCACCTTGGTTAGTCGCTTGAGGTATCTCCCCAGTTTGCGGCTGTGTGTTGATGTATATTCCCGTGTTGTCTTCATTGTCATCAACGCATATTCTCTCTAATGAATCTGCAAGATCATCACAAATATCCTTTCTCGCCAAGCGAGGATTATCTTTCGGAAAATACAATGTGAGGAGACTCCTCAATAGTCAAGGTACGTTTATTGAAGACTCTATAGGCCTTGCTACGTAGTGAGTAACCCAGAAAAATTCCTTCATCCGACTTTGCATCAAATTTGCCTAAGTTGTCTTTGCCATTGTTATGAATAAAACATTTGCAACCAAAGACCCGAAGATGGGAAAGGTTTGGCTTTCTCCCTTTGTATAGTTCATAGGGCGTTTTCATGAGTATCGGTCGAATGACGGCTCGGTTTAACACGTAGCTCGCGGTACTCACTGCATCCGCCCAAAAATACTTAGGGATTTTTGCCTCATTAATCATAGTTTTAGCCATCTCTTCGAGACATCTATTTTTACGTTCCACCACTCCATTTTGTTGTGGTGTACGTGGGGCTGAGAAGTTATGATCAATGCCAAGTTCATCACACAAATCTGAGAACAAATTTCGTTCGAACTCTCCCCCATGGTCGCTTCTTATGGCTACTATGGTTGTTTCTTTTTCATTTTCAACTTTCTTTAAGAAATTTTTGAAAACGTGAAATGCCTCACTTTTATGAGTTAGAAACAAGGTCCATGTAAACCTAGAGTAGTCATCGACAATCACAAACACAAAGTAATTTCCCCTTTTGACATGCATCACATATGGTGTCTTTTTCAAACTTAAGTTTTGGGATGCCAATTACTAAGTTTTGTGAAACCAATTTGTTCAAAAGGTTCATATTCATATGAGCTACCCTTCGGTGCCATAGCCAAGTGTCTTCCTCTTTACTAATGAGACACTTAGCAAAGTCGGAAGGAGATTTGTCTAAGTTAACCATATAAATGTTATCGATTCTATCACCACGTAGAATGACCTTATTGTCACTAAGGCGTTCTACAGTGCATGATTTTGAATCGAAGGTTACACGGTTTCCCTTGTCACATAATTGACTTATGCTCAAGAGATTGTGTTTAAGACCTTTGACTAGCAAGACATTATCTATAGAGGAGTCTTCGGACTTACCTACTGAACCGACGCCAATAAATTTTCCCTTGCTATTATCTCCAAAGACTACGTTTCCTCCTTTAGCGGGTTTGATTTGTAGGAACTTGGAT